GAAAATATCGATAAAATCATGGACATTGTCGAGTCCGACCGTCATGTAAGCACTGTTTCGATTGCCCAAGAGCTAAAGATTGCACAAAAAACCGTTTGGAACCATTTGAATAAGGCTGAATACAAAAAGAAGCTCGATGTATAGGTGCCGCACGAGTTAACGAAAAAAAACCTCATGGACCGAATTTCCATCTGCGAATCGCTGCTGAATCGCAACAAAATCGACCCATTTCTGAAGCGGTTGGTCTCTGGTGATGAAAAGTGGATCACTTACGACAACGTCAAGCGAAAACGGTCGTGATCGAATCGCGGTGAGCCGGCGGAAACGGTGGTCAAGCCAGGATTGACGGCCAGGAAGGTTTTGCTGTGTGTTTGGTGGGATTGGCAGGGAATTATCTACTATGAGCTGCTCCCTTACGGCAAAACTCTTAACTCGGAACTGTACTGTCAACAATTGGACCGTCTGAAGGAAGCAATCGCCCAGAAGCGGCCAGCTTTGGCCAATAGGAGAGGAATTGTGTTCCATCAGGACAACGCCAGGCCACACACATCGATAGTGACTCGCCAGAAGCTCCGGGAGCTTGGTTGGGAGGTTCTTATGCATCCACCTTATAGTCCGGACCTGGCACCAAGTGATTACTATCTATTCCTGTCCATGGCGAACAATTTTGCTGGTGAAAAATTCGCTTCAAGAGAGGCTTGTGAAAATCGACTGTCTCAATTTTTTGCCAATAGGGACGAGGGCTTCTATGAGAGAGGCATAATGAAATTACCTTCAAAATGGCAACAAGTTATCGAACAAAACGGCGCATATTTGACCTAAATCGGATCATTCTAACTATGGTAATTAAAGCCTTCAATTTCATGCAAAAATAATGGATTTCTTTTTACTACACCTGATATTTCGAGGCGGCAGAACAAAGCAGGAAGCGACGATGAGAGGGATAATTATTACGAAGCTGGCATGGCAGGTTAGCGGTAAGAACAAAAAAGCTTGCACTATGTAATATAAAGACTATGTTGTAAAACTTTAAATGTGTTTTTCTCGAAACTTCGTTTTTCAAAATGGTGTCGAAGGTTCCTCGGGATATATTTATCGGATTGACTTGATTTTTGGTTTTCTATTATCCTTATAATTTTCTTTAAGTATTAACCGAGGATTTCTACAATATCATTGTTATTTTGCAAAATACTAACAAATTCATTAACAATATTTGTGTCAAAAATCAAACCAAAAGTTCAAACATTTCTTTTTCAGTCAAATTTCAACAAATTCTGAATAAACTGGGTCAATGCTTAAGGAATACAATACACTAAAGTAATGTTATTTTTTCTTTGATTTTAAACGATCCATGGCGGAATCATCAACACCAGTGACCGGTGCGAAAAAAAATTGACTTTCTATTACACTTTAAATGCTACTAAAATTATTTTTCTTTTCATTTTGACTATTTTATACCTTCATCCTGTACGTAAATAAACTACTAAACCATAAGTTTACAGCTTTTTTATTTCTTCGGCAATCCACATTTAAAAATCTATTTTTTCGACTGGTCACACCAGTCTAACTCCTTAAGCAGAATGAATTCACCAACGAATAGTATGCATTGTTCGCAACGAAATGACGTTAACAAAATTTTACTTATACGGGCGAAGATAGAAGCGACCGATAACGCTCGCACTTTGAAACTTTTGCATTAAGATCTAATGTTAATACAACAAACCGTGTAATAAATATTAAAACATTACAATGATGTTACCAATGACCAAATATAGACGAAATGTATTCACCAGAAATGAATAATAAGTATCAATGTATGTTCATACATGAAGTACGTGTGTAAACAGAGAGTTAAAGGTGAAGAAAAGATGAAAGAAGAAGATATAAAGACTATCCATTTCTTTAAATAAAACTCTGCAATTTTATCTTATGCAAACAAATTGTTCTCCTTTATCTAGCAAAGGGGAAGAAACATGGAGTATTGGAAAACCCAACGATTAATCTATAATGGAACGTGCAGTCGAATGTCCGATTAATCCAATATCACTTATTGTTATAAATGTTGAACGTTGGAAAAAATCGAGTTCTACTGTGACTTGAACTTTGTTACTCGGTGTAATTTAAAGTCAGCCCCCATACGCGGAACGTATGACGTTATAAAGCATACTTCTCCAGCGGTTTCTCCCATGAGACGCACGCAGAATATTCATTTCGCACAAGCACATATACATTGATGAAAATTGCAGGGAAATCCCGGATCAGTTATATGAACGAAGCTGAAAGAACAGAGAATTCGTTCAATTAACTTGATATTGACGACAAACCTAATGACTCATCATCCTTTGAAATTGTTACGAGAAACAGCGTTATCAACCGTGACGCAAAAAACGTACATGTTACGATAACGTGTAACGTATATGTTAGGATCGTACATGTTACGATGAAATTAGTACATAGTATAGGTAATGAATTGTACTATCGCTCGACCACGTCATGCTAAGAACTGTATTATACTTTGCCTAACCGCTTATGCACTGTTGTAATTTATATTATTTATATTTGTTATATATATTATATATATTTATATTTGTTCTCTTTTTTTCATATTCATAATCTTGGTAGTCTGTAAACTTTAGAAACTTATTGCTAACTGTAGATTACAGTAATCATTTAATAAATCATTGTATATGTATGTGCATATATATTTAGTAATGAGTAATACTCTTTCAAAAATTGATAATATTTAGCTGTTCTGAAAAATAAAAACACAGAGCCTTGACACACAAATATTATGTGTGAGTCTTCACTTCATCATTATTACTAATTTTATTACTAATTATTATTTATTGTAAATTCTTAAGTATAATGTGATATATAAGTATAAATGTGATATATAAGTATAATATGATATATAAGTATAAATTATACTTACAGATTTACAATGAAAAATAATTAGTAATAGAATAAATGCACATATTAAATATTTGGCTTCAAGACAAAGAATGTTTTATACTGACAAAAGATTATGGAAGGATTAATCTAAATTAATTTATATTATTGCACACTGATAGTAAAAGTACTTTAAAAAATTTAATGTTTCCAAATATCTGGAAAATATCTGGAAAGATAATTTTAAACTGCTTTTAGGAAACAATTAAACTTTTGTTGAAGATATTCTCCCAAGTTCCTCGCTATTCAAAAGATATTTTCTCAGAGAGAAAAAATATTACTTCTTAAAACACTATTTGTTTAAAAATCTTGAAATCTGTGACTAAACATTTACAAAAAAGAATATATTTTTTGATCTTGAGACTATTTTGAAATTACAATACACTGAAAACACATTAAAATTGATGAAACACTATCAATGCAGTTGTACGTTTTTATAAGAAAGGAAACAATAAAGAAATATTTGAAAATGTCAAGAAGCTCGAACATTAAAAGATTCACTAACCTTTGCACTATAATGATATCTGTATGTGTATATCTTTTTGCTTATACATTTTTCATTATTATGATGTTATTATAAGTATGAACAAAGATCTTGTTAATTTTCAGACAAATGTCACATAGGTGTTGCAGATAGACTATATCTAACCTAACCTATACAGGCAAAGAAAATGATATTTAACTCACCGTATAATATATTGATAAATATTAGTAGCCCTGTCAAGTAAACATCGTTCTCTGCGTGTTGCTGTTAGCATTTCCGATATTTATATCAACTCAACCATGTCTTCTCTCTCTTATCACCAGCGCTTGTTACCCTTACCTTACAATTACATCATGGTGCCGAAACAGACGTCTATGAGTGCGTTCCATTTCACGTAATGCGCGCATTTATCTATAGTTTATGTCACGTATACTATAAAAATGCGCGCATATGCGTGAAACAGAACGCACTCTATCTGTTCGTTCATAAATGCACTTTTTGTGCAGGTGCAAAGTATATATGTGTACTTTTTTGGTTGCGTTCCGAAATTCACTGCCAGTACTGAAAATTTATAATATACGTGACACAAACTATGTGTTTTCAGTACTGGCTGTGAATTTCGGAACGCAGCCTTAGAGTTTGAAAACGACCAAATGTGTAGCAGGAAGACGAATAAATATAGATATTTATGTTAATTTTATACATTAACTTCTTACTTATTCTTTTTAGTAACCTTACTTTTTTCATTTATTGATTGCACATTACATATGAGTGAATAATTATCTTTACTAAGGGCCGGTTATTCCGGTTATATGATTTAACTATCAGTAAACTTACCAAGGAGTTGGAACAACTGACCCTAATCCATACAAAATGTAAATCGTAAATGCAATACGAAGAATGCATTCGAGGGGATATTATTAACGCTACCAGTGTAAATGCCATTAAAATTATTCGTATGTTGACAATCTTTGATAATTCAAAGTTGTCAAAATGTTACCTTTTTAATTTCCTGGTTTTTAAATTAACAGTCATAAAAATAAATAAAATATGAATAATATAAAAGATGAATTTAAAAGATTTAACGAATTTATTCAATAGATTTACTTAATAATTTGAATAAAATAAAAATTTTCATTTTTGAGGTAAAAAAGACATTTTTTGCATATTATTTTCTTCTAAACAGACTTTTTCAATACTGTATGTCATAATATTATTATAAATTATGAATTTTGCGAAATATACAAAAAATAATAAACATACATTCTGTGTGAGCTATTTCGTATCCAACTAAAAAATATGATATTGTATATTCACTCAAAAAATGTCGACTAGTTAATTCTGTTGATTATTTATATAAAAATATTTCATGCAAAACATATTGAAGTCAATTGTAAAAACTGAAGCATACAAATATATAATATAAATATGTAACATATAATATAAATATACATAACTTACTATATACAATATATTTAATACAAAAATAAGTATAAGATTAGACATTCCTACATTTATAATATAACATAAGATCAAATGGATACATATATTATTTATCAATATCTTGATTTTATATAATAATAGTACTGTGATGTATATCTTCACACTGTATATCATCACACTGTATATTATAACTTATGCGTAAAATTCACAGATTAACAAGTCATTATTAAATCATCATTAAGTCACAAGGAATTTCTAAACAGCTTAATATATCTCTCTAATTGTGGATAGTAGTCGATCTCTGTACTTCACTCGAATGTCTGGCATGATTCATCATTGATTCTACTCGATTCGCAGTCTCTCTGACAACATCGGATATTTCATCTGGTAGATGATCCAGAGTGGGAATATGTGCCGACAAGCGTTTATAAACAGAATCTCTATTGTTATCTTTTTTATTCCGTCGCTGCTCTTCATATTTCAGCTGTTGTTTGAAGAATATTGCATTTTTTATAAACTCTAGTGTGTTCTCAAAACTTTTTCCAGCACCTTGCATGGTTTTAATTGCACTAACTGCATACTCTACATCATAACATCTGCCTAATAATTGTTGCTGTAATGCTAACACCTCCACACGTTTCTCCACCATTGGTGGTAATGCTTTCCTCACATGCTCCTGTAGCCTATAAAAGGCTAGTGATGGTTCATTTGCTACAATATGCATGTTCTCTGATATACGTTCAGTTGCTGTAACATTGCAATAAACATATTAATTATTTGTATATTATATTGATATGTTAAATCTATTAAATTATGCAAAACATGATGTTAATACTATCAAGAAAAATAGTAACCTTTCTTAACTTTTGTTTCCAACTCTTGATCAGGCTGATATATCTTTGCAGCCATTGTTTTAATTCTTACACCATACAATATTGCAATTATAAATATAACAGTTGTTTATATATTTGTTATATATTCAATACATTCTTCACAAGAGATAACTCTTTATTTGATATTTAAATACAATTAAAATAAATGTGTATCACTGTTTGTTTATAAGTCGATGTAAATATTTAAGTGTTTTTCTTCTTCTTTAATATAAATATCCGTTACTTTTGGAGATAAATTACTAATTACTGCAGCAGAATAGGATATTACATACACAGAAATGTCATAATCAGCTGATTACACCATCAACCTCCTTTAAAGCAAGTGGTCTGTTCTTTTTAGCTGCACTACTGAAACGGTGCAATTAGTTAAAGTGAGAAAAAATATAGTTGTCTCATTCTAACTTATTGCACTAGTTTCGCAGTGCAGCTAAAAAGAACAGACCATATCTCTCTCTCCCTCTCACAGTTGATCTGTTCTTTTTAGCTGCACTGCGGAACTAGTGCAATAAGTTAGAATGAGATAACTATATTTTTTCTCACTTTGACTTATTGCACCAATTCAGTAGTGCAGCTAAAAAGAACAGACCAAATATTGGTTTCAAGGAACCCTCTCAAGCGTCGTTTAAGCGTCGTCTACAATAATTACGTTTACACAGCATGATTAAAGGCCTATCCAGACAAACTTGCATAAGCGCGTAACGCATATGCATAAGGAAATTGACCAATTATGATCCGTGTAGTAAAAAAATATTTTTTGTATTAAACATACGATTAGTCAATTTCCTTATGCATATGCGTACGCGCTTATGCAAGTTTGTCTGGATAGGCCTTTAAGGGCCAGAGCACAGACTTCTTCATAACGCATAAAGCTAAGACTCCATGTATGCGGTGAGCTCCGGCAAACGGCTGCGGTGACCAATCAGGAGACAGACGCATGCCGGAGCTTGCCGCAACCGGACTTGCGCCTCCCTCCTGATTGGTCACCGCAGCATTTGCCGCAGCTCACCGCATGCATGGAGTCTTAGCTTAATACACAACGCATAAGAGAATCAACCAATCAGAGTTCTTCATTTCCCCCCGCAGGACAGAAATGAAGAAAACTAATTGGTTTATTCTCTTATGCGTTGTGTATTATGCGTTATGCAGAAGTCTGTGCTCTGGCCCTAATTACGTTTAGACGACAATGTTAATCCGGATTAGTAACAACCGTAATTAGTGAATTCTTTGATCCGATTAGTATATTCTTTTAGATCTAAAAATATACTCTAATCGGATTCGAAACTACATTAACTACGGTAGTTACTAATCCGGATTAACGTTGCCGTGTAAACGTAGTTTCTAATCGTTATTCTGCGTGTGACAAGAGCCGTAGATAGTCGCACACGTGTAATAACGACTTAATACCCTTTCCTTTCACGTTACGTTGGTCGCGTGGTACGCTCCTTCAGGTATATGCATTTTCATTACTTGTTTTTGAATTATGCTTAGTAACATTTAAAAAAATATGACTTTGCCAACTTGGGCGAAAGTAGGAATTGGATGGTAGGTCTACATTGATATAGCGAATAATTCCATCGAATTATTTTTATTTACTATTTGCAATATTCAGTGTTAATGTTAACCTTAAATGTTATAAAAATATGATCATTATATCAAAAGTTCTTAATTTCGTGTTTTTAAATATATACATAGATTTGCACATTAGTTCTTGCACATAGTTTTAAAATAATCTTGGTTTTTGCATGTACTGTGTACATGAAAATCCACGTTTTAGAGGAATAATATTTTACGCCGTTTGCAGGGTCATAGCTGCTGGTGCAGGATTTTACGCATTTGTATTATCAAAGAATGACATTCATTCTAAGAGATATGAGATTATGAAATCCAGACAACGTATAAAAGAATCAAATATTGTAGATTAATTAATTATTAAGAAATAAAAAATTCACAGAAGAAAGATATAATCAAAGCACAATATTAAAAAAAATGGCAACATTACCACAACTGGATGAAGATAAACTTAAGTTAGTACAAGATTTGGAAATAGAAATGATGCAAGACATGTATAATCGTATGACATCTGCATGTCACAGAAAGTGCATAACTCCAAAGTATACCGAACCTGAATTAGGCAAAGGGGAGTCAATATGTCTGGACCGTTGTATTGCTAAGTACTTAGATGTTCATGAACGTATCGGCAAGAAACTTACACAGTTTTCTATGCAAGAAGCAAAATTACAAGAGCAGCCAAAGACAAGTTAAGTTAATCATCTCTAGTTGCAACTGAAGGAGGTTTTTTGTAACCTCTTGTAAGTTAACTATCTTAATTTTCTTCAAATTATATATTTCAGAAGAATGTATAGTTTGTTTGACTTAGACTGGACTAGAGAGAATATAATGTTCTGTATTTTATTATTAGTAGTAAATTGATAATAATAAAATAAATGGATGAAATTTATAAAATGCAAATTTTTCTGATTTTATAATGTTTCAGATATTTTATTTTAATATTCTTTTTCGAGATAACATATGTATTATTAGGTCAGTCAAAAAGTTTGGTTTAACTTCTGAATAAAATTTAACTTTATTGTTTTCAATCAAAATGAATTATTCATTAATCAAGTAATTGCTGCTATCTTCTCTAAGCATTCGGCATTCATTTGCTTTTATTTATAGACATATATAAAAAACAATCTTTTTGGTTGACTTAATATTTTACCAATATTTGCCTTACAATATGCATGAAATAAAAACATTGTTTCACAAAGTTTATATATTGAAATGATGTTTAAATAAATTAGTATATTATTTATATACAAACGATTTATTCTGCATGAAAATACAAGTATACAACGTACAAAATAAAATTAATGATCATTGATGCAACATATCTCTAAAAAACATACAGTACAAACAACATGCATATTATAATGGCAAATTTTACATTTATTCTTTGTCAAACTTAAGCAACATAAGTTTCATTATACTCGTGATGATTTGTTACATTATTTAACATTTCTTCTGATTATTCAAAATATAATCTCTCGTCCTTCCAAAGTACTTACTTGTGTATGTATGTGTTATGTATGCTTTCTTAGACACAATTCTTGATCCGTAAATCGAACAGTTTATTTACTAGGAATACATATGTAAGCAATAGTAAGGTAAAAATAAGGCAAATTCAAGTAATTAATATTAATTGTCACAAACATGATGATAATATCCATGGCAGCACGACAGATTATGTACAAATTTCGATATTGTAATTTCAGAGAAGAAACCGAAACTTAATGAAAAATTTATATTTTTTTTCATCATACTTCTACTTTGTGGCATGATACCAATATGTAAAAGTAGTAGAAATAAATCAACTTTTCTTTTCTGCCCAATTAACGAACAGTAAACATCTTCAAATGTCCAATATTTCAAGATGTCATGAATATAATATATTAGAAAATAAGTATAAAGAGGTTCGATTTATTTTTACACATAAGTATCACACATTGATATCCATGCAGTTTTATTTTCATGTTAACCGGCGGTTTTATCTTTCACTGGACGGACAGTTGCCAAAGCCAATGTGTGTTGACCGCCGCCAGTGACACGTACCACGGTCTTGCCATCCAATTGTCTTCCTTTAACTAATATCGGTTCTTCAACGTCAACTTCCTCCCCTGTGCCAAGTTGTCCACTGGTGCCCATACCCCACGAGTATAGTTCACCTAATAAAACCATTTATATATATATATATATATATATATGTCAATCTAAAATTCATTATGCAATGTATATGTACATTAGAACATATATTTTGATCCAACTATTTCCGAGAGCGTCATATATTTTATGTAAAACGTATAATTACATGTATAATTTCACATCACATTACCTAATTCTGTAACTGCAAACGATTGTGCGCTACCTACACCTACATGGATGCATTTAGCGGAACTTAAAGCAGGGACTAGTGTCAACTCTTTTGCGTCCGTACAATTAGTTCCAAGACCAAGACGGCCATATTCTTTGCGACCCATTACGAAAACTTGCCCCTCGTCATCCAAAGCGATGGTGTGGTGTTGTCCACTACTGATATGTTTCCATACTTTACCACTAAATGTTTTCGACATTTGTGGGTGAAAATGAGTGGCGGCATCCTTTAAACCTGAACATTTATAGCGAATATACGAGTAAATAAAATCGAATAATATACAATTTTTCTCAAACATTTGTTTCTGTCTTACCGATTTGATAATAATTATTTAGACCAAATACATATATATCCCCTTTTTGGCTTTCTTTGGCGAATGTACAATAAGTTCCTGCCCATATATCGGCGAACTCAAGCTTCTTACTAACTTTGAATTCAACCAGGCTTGGTGTTAATAGTGGGCCCATTCCCTGTCGGGTATTTCTACTAGCCGTTCGTGCGGCTACTCTTCCTAGTTGTCCCTGTTCTCCACATCCGCAGGTATATACACGTCCACTTTCACTAAGTAACACTAAATGATCAGCACCCGATGCTATTTTTACTACTTTTATATTAGGTAATATTTCTATTGGAAGTCGCTCGTTTCCCTTTAATGTTAATCCCATGGTACCATGTGAGTCCTATAGTTTATAAATCAATTTATTATCTTATTCAACAGAGATGATTTTGTTGAAATAAATTACAATATTAAAATAAACATACCCTAAATGAACCCCAAGCAAAAGCTCTGCCATCTTCTAACAAAGCTGCGCTATGCGAGTCTCCTGCTGTTACTTGAATGGCTTTACCAGGTAATTCAACTGTACCTGGTACTGTCTCAGAGCCTTCTTTGCTGGTATCTCGTCCAAGTGCTCCCTCATCATTACAGCCAAAAGTCAATATATCTCCTGTTTTCTTTAAGCATATATTATGCATACCACCAGCTGCTATTGCTATAATATCTTGGTGATCTGGTATGACTGCTGGACGCATTTTTTCAACAACATCCTCTCCTAAACCAAGTTGTCCAACATCTCCTTGTCCAAACACAAGTATAACACCACCCGTCGTGAGTGATTGTAAGTCGGGTTTTATAATTACATCTACAAAATACACATGTTCTAATTGCTTGCTCAGAAACAGCTTCTCTGTACATGAACAATATGCGTCGATTTCAATGAGAATTCGCACGACTTTCAGAAACATCAAAATCTATATTTCTAACAACAATACAAAAGATTGCACGGAAAATTGTATTTTTAACGCTCAGAGGTAAAACCATCTATTTTGTTCAACGCATTCGCGGTTATATAGATTATAATATTTAACATATAGTGGTATATGCTTGGGTAAAGGAGGATTCTTAATAGAGAGTAGAAACTAACGAGATGAATTTGTACCTGGCTTTTTCTTGATTTGCTTCGGCGCTTTTTCCGTATTCGTTGGATCTTCAGCAGTCCGTTTCTTCGCTCTCCGTGGAGGCACTGTAACATAATTTTAGGTTATGTTTACGAACGCACCCATAAAACAGCTATTATGACTGTCACATGCGACTCGGGGAATGCTTTTAACATTGTTACTTATTTGCGTACTTACTCTTGTAGATATTTATTGTAGATCGTGAATATATATCGCCTTTCGCTCGATTGGCGCCAAAAGTTACAATGCTTCGGCTTTTACGACAGTTGCGCAACTCGCGTAAGAACACGATACAGACCGGTTTCCACGGTCACTACAGCTGCTTGGATGCTGATACTCAATAGCTAGAGGGTAGGACTTGTGCAATACGACGAACTATTACCCGCCAAAAAACCGCCATCTATTCCAACGATCTCGAAGTTTATCGTAAAAAGTTTCACATGTGCAAACGTTCGCTCTCAAAAGTATTGTTAGTAGATCTCGTAAAAAAGTTCATATTCAAAATAAATGAGAGTATTCTGAAACGTTTTTCTAATGCTGCACTTATATGTAAGTATATATACCTTTGGAATTACTTTTATATTTTCTGCGTTTCTCTTTTTTTCCGCGGCTTTCTCTCTCTCTCTCTCTCTCTCTCTCTCTCTCTTTTTCTCCTTCTCCTTCCCTTCTCATCCTATTTTCTTTTATAGCTTTTGAATTCGATCGAAAAGTTGTTTACCAAGTTGATTTTAAATTTAATAGTTCTGCGCGTTCATACAAACTTAAGTTTGCTCGTAAAAGTGTTATGGCCTAAGGAAACGGCTAACATTTCATAACTTCTCACAGTAAATTAATAAACAAAGGCGAACGCAGTTTTTCGTAAATATTACGGTGGATTTTCATAAAACCGTCTGCAGCATGATGAGAAACTTTTGGATTCTGCGGTTTAATATTCCTGACGGTTGCCAAACTAACATTTTCTGACGTGGGAAACTTTCTCTCTCTCTCTCTCTCTCTCTCTCTCTCTCTCTCCCTCTCTCTCTTTCTTTCTCTTTCTCCTATCAGAAAATATTAAAGAAATTTTCAAGATTACACAAAGGTGTATCTTCTGCTTTTTTAAGATTACAACGTAAGATTAACGACGACTTGGAACATGTAAATTCACTTAATTATCATTACTCGGCACTTTCAAGGACTACTTTTCGCTCGTTGGAAAGTCTAAAAAGCGGCAGAGAATTATTTTTGTGATTCTCGCTACTTTGCATTTTTCATTGGATAAAAGCTCACGAACGTTTGTGCGCTCATGTGCACTATTTCATCAAAGGATATGCGTGTGTAGTCAAATTTTATTTCAATTTGCTTCGGTAAGTAACGGGTAAAAATATATTTTAAGTATATAGTAGTGATCCTCCCACCATGGTAATATTTTAAAATTACAAAAGAGCAAACATGTATCGCATCGCATGTGTAATAACGCAACAGAGAATTAATTATTGTCGGTTATAATTATCATCGTTATTATTTCTTATGCCATTATTTGATCTCATTATTCTACCATCCAGTTTTATTATGATATATTACAGGCAATACATTTGTATTATATATTTGTAACGCTTTGTAATCGTTTCGGTAATATACATTAAACATGTTGCGACATCAGATACGCGTTCCGTGTTCCGTTCTAGAAGTCGACGATTTCCGCCAATCAGATACGTCTGTACTACTCGTGCTCATAACTTCAGCGTAGCGGAAGAACACGTCACTACCGGTACGAGAGTCGCAGGCAATCAACTATGGCGGCGCGAGTACGTAACGGTCAATGATGCGGGTTCTGTTTTCGGTGAGTAACAATTCGAATAAAATCCGCGTGCACGCGAAAAGACCGCTCGCCGAGGCGAATAAAACGATCGGCGAGCGCGTGTGGTATAAATCGAGTCGCGTAAGTCACGCTAAAGTGCTCTGTCGTTCGTTGAAATATATGCTACTTTACTCGGCGCCAAACATGGCCGCGCGAAATCGCGAAAGTTCACTTCCGCAAGAGATCGCGTATCGAAAATGGCGCGATCTCGGTGTCAGCGCGAGTGTGCGGTATTACAGACGCGTAAGTTGACGCGTAACTTACGATTTAGAGTGCACAATAACATTCTTTCCTGTTCGATTCGCATAATCGATGCGAAATCTCTCGCGCACCGAATTCTGGAGACGCGAATGGATCGCAAGGTTAGTTACGAGAATAGTCGACGTCGGCTTTCCACTTATACTTTGAACGAGGGATCTCCGTTAACGTTAGGGTTAGGGTTAGGTTAGGTTAGGTTAGGTTAGGTTAGGTTATCGGCAAACGCCGGTCTAAGCACATGATACATCGAGCTTTCCGTCCGAGTTTCAGCGTACGTTATTCGATTCTCGCACACGGTGACGTAAACACGAAAGAGGCAGCCGTTAATGTCGGGCCGATGTGTTTACGCATTCGGCTGACGCCGGTGATAAACACGGAGTATTAACCATCGTGGCCCGGCGTCCTTTGATGCCTGTTTCTATCATTCTTGGTTACCTTGATCGGCTGATTCGTTTCCGTCGGAACCGACCAAACACATCTGTCGTCAATCAGAATTGACAAATGCGATTGGTCAATTCCGATGGAAGTGAACCAATCGCAGTAAATAAACCAAGTTGATAAAAACAGGCAAACGCCGAGATCGTAACACAGTTCTCTCGCTGCCGTTCGTGGGAGAAGACGTGAGAGAGTTACTTCGCGCGCGCGTGTGTGCTCCGAGTGAAGCGCGAATTAACGCGCGACGGGGATGACCGCGAGGGCCGTTCAGGCGCGCGTGATACGACGGTGCGGGCGAGGGCACGCGCGGAAAGGGGCAGAGGGTGCCGGCCGGTTATCAGAGGGGTCGGAAACGCGGAAGCGCGCCAGTCGACGGCGAGACTTCGCCCGCGCAGCTTCACTCTTTCTCTCTTACCAAACCCACCACCACCCCCCATCTCCTCTCGTCGTTGTCTCCGTCCATCGTCTGTCAGTTCGCAATAGCCCTCTCCCCCCGTGATACTCTCTATATCTTTCGTCGCGCGAGTCGGATATAAAATTCGCTCATTTTTGCACGTAGCATTTCTCTCTCGCGCGGAACACCCGGCCGAGAGTGAAGACGAAAGTCACGTGGCGATCGCGTGGACAACGCGGGTGAACAAACACCGCCAGCGAGAGCGTCATCGTTCGGAGAAGGAGAAGAGTGGAAGAGAAGAAGATATCTTCGCTTCCGGGCCGTTGGATGTAGAAAAATCGAGGAACACACCATGACGAGGTCGACGCGCCGATTTCTACTCTTACTGCTGCACACGCTGATTGGCGGTGAGTACCTATGCATTATATATTGTTTTTTCTTGGAAGACGCGTATGCGAGAAAAAACGCTTCGATAGCGCTCTCTCGCGCGTCCACCGATATTCGCTATCGTTTTTGTGTTTGACACGTAATAATCACTGGCTAAATCGATCGATGCTTGCGATCGGTGAAAAACCGATGACTCTGTCGTCGTGTTAGGTCGTTACCAGACGATTCGCCAATTGTTTTTGTACGAAAGAAAAAAGAGGCAAGTATGTAAATTCAGGTTAGGTCGCTATCTGAAGAGGCAGGTGGGATAAATAATAGGGAAACATTTAGCGCAATACTCTCTGGCGCGTCCGTACAACCGCGCGCAATGAACATTAGACGAGAAAACTAATGAGATCGCCGCTAAATAATACACGCTCGCGGTACACACCGAGCCCAAAACACGATATCGGCAGCGCGAGCACGTTCCAACGAGTTTATAAATAAAACACGCGCGCGCGCGAACTTGTTGTCTGACACGCGGCTATCAAAGGTCAACGATGAAAATTTACTCCGCAAATACCCCGGCTGCGGCTGACAAAACGTCACGCCGCACGTAAGGTAACAAATTAAAGTCGATTTGTGAAATAAACTCGCTGTGTTACACAATCAAGCGGATAAACGACGCAACGTGTCGCTTGCCTGATCTCTCTCGTTTTTACTCTCTCTCTCTCTCCGCCCTGTTCGTTTTTCATCCTTTCCCGACGTTCATGTCTCTGGGCGATGCGATTTCACGAAATGGTTCACGACTTGTTGAGCCACCACCGTCTCTCTCTCTTTCTCTCGGCTTGCGAAGGGAAGCGTGCGCCAAATTTGCGCGAGACGAAACAAAGATTTCGGGGAACGGAGAAGCCTGAACTTTGCGCCGTCGTGCCGTGAAGAACGCACGTTCGCGCGACGAGAGAGTGGATTGATTTTCTTGCTCGGTCGAACCTGTATCAGCATTTTCTCAATCAGTCTGAGTGGTTTGTCGCGGACGCGGCAAATGTCGCGACGCTTGCCACCGACGCGTGTGTTGCGCGTGCTTTTAAGAAATACAATAGCGGCTTTCGGAGAATCGTTCGAGCAAACGCGCTTCGTCGCTTGTATATAGATGCACACACATACACACACACACACAACACACACACACACACACATACACATATATATATACACAGACGCACATATGTTCGCCATCCGATTCGATGGACCGAGTTGGCCGATGTCGTCGCCGTGTGAAATCGGGAAAGCACTCGGAATATTAAAGGGAGAGGGTGGTAGGCTGTACACGAACGGATGCGCGTAACACGTTCGCCGCATCGCACACATTGCCGCGTGTGTGTGTGCATTTTTTCTTTCTTTTTTTACGTTATCGAAAAATAAAAACCGTTTGCGTCACGCACCGAAGCAGCAAATGCGAAAAAAATGTAATCTGTATTTTTGCCGTAAGAGCGTTATGCGTGCGTGAAGTATCGGGATATAGGCGGCGAAACGAGAAATAAAATCGCTACGTGGTTGCGACTCGCGGCAATATTCGCTCGCGCGGTATTCGGGAATCGTTGTTGTTGCTTTCATGCCTCGCACCGACCGGGCTAATGTTCTTTTTTTTTTTCCTTTGCGGACCGATCTTATATACCGTGCATCTCTAATGTTGTAATGCGTGCGATACTCTTCGTTGGAATTTCGCGCAAACTGTCAAATATGCCGTTTCCCCGAGAGATTCGTCGAGCCGGGTAATTGTGATCGGAATAATTCAGCGAGGTGGATGCATTCGCGTAGAAAAAAGTTGCGAGCTACGTGCGAGCTCGCGTCTCATTTTCGCGGTTGAATCACGAAATGCCCGCAGAGAGAACGCTTTCCCGCGTCCGTCTCTTTGCGCGCCCTCGAAAAAGACACGTTTTCGCTCTTAATGTCCCTCATTCGTCGCGAGTAGACGTTTATTCCGTCTTCCGTTCCGGCACGCCTCAAAGCGTTTTAAGTTTCTCGTTTGCGAATGGAATATGACGTTTGGAGTTGATGAAAGAGAGAGAGGGAGAGAGAGAGAGAGAGAGAGAGAGAGAGAGAGAGAGAAGGAAAGAGAGAACCAGTAAAAAATTACCGAAGGTCCATCGAATGAGCCGCGTGGCTCAATGACGTCGCGTTCGCCTGTTTTTACTTATCGATTGTGAATTCTGCGAGCGTAATGAAGAGCGAAGCTCCATGGGTTTAAAAAATCTCCAGTACATATTTTTCCTTTCAACGAGTGAACGCTTTGCGATTCGCATTCTAATATTCGCTCGTTTAGCGGTATACGTGGCCGTTTAATTCCCAAGCTGTGTAATATCATTGTGCACGTACACTCAGGTGTATTACAAACGCGAAGCGAAGGCGAGTCGAACGCGGGATGGTAATTAGGAAAATCTCCCGGTACTTGTATCCGGTGTAAAATGCACGGAACGTTTCGGTCTCTGCGGATTATCCACCTGAGGATCTTCCGCGAAGACTGGATCTCAACGTACACCGCAACGTTTCTTGAATTTTACGCTGATTGGAAGTCACTTCCTCTCCCTCCCTCTCTCCCCCGTTCTTTGCGTATTTGCGATTCGGCTTTGATAACAAGTTGCTCGTTCACGTTTCGTTGCAAATTCGCCGAACACGAATATATTTTCACCGGGCTTGGTCATTTCGATCGGGATTTTCCCGATCGCGACTGTCGCGACTGTCTGAATCTCAAAGCTCCTAATGAGTGGCCACCTCTAACGCTAATTGCGTTGGGATGCGGTTCTTCTTTTTTCGTTTCATTCCGCGTGTGATTTATGCATTAAACGGGTGCAAAAATGTATCCCCCTTGGGAAATTTGAAAGAATTTTTTCCCCGGCGACCTTAACTCGCTGTCAGTGGTCTTGACGTTCGCTGAGGTGTCCGAGCGACTCGCGCACGACGCATTGCACGTGTGCGAAAGCGGAAACGGCGCGAGTGAAACAAAACACGAGAAAAAAAGACCGCCGTTAACCCAGTTTCTTCGCTATCAATCATCACGCGATATTCCGTGGCGTGGCGGGCGCTGATAGAATTTCTGATGGAAATTGAAGAAAGATAGTCGCGCCCGCGCCCCGCTCGACGTCGGAATTATATCAAATGTTCCCAGAAAATCTTGCGTTTATGCAACGAAGCTTCGCGGACGAGTGTTTTGGAGAAATCCTTTTCAATATGAATTTTTTGGCAAATTTGCCACCGACATCGGCTTGCACCGAAAATTCGGCAGGGCATCTCTTGTGAGTTTCGGTATTAAGAACGCCGAAGAGAGAAAACAAATGAGCTCGTCGATAATCTTCAGCAATTTTGAGGAAAATATCTTTTTTTCATTCTCGCGACACGAATCTTCAGATTTTTACCACTTATCGTTTCATCAGTTTTACTTTTCCGCTTATTGCTCTCGACATTGCGACTCAATTCATTTTTCTTAGTTCAGCATCATATTTGCAGCAATTGTGAAATATGCGGAACATACTAAATAAAACGAAGTCGTTGGCAAAAATTGATATTGCATGCGATAAATTAAATATTGTTCGTAATATGCACCAAACTATCTGTATTCTTTTTTTTTTAATATCTTTTTTTCATGCACAAAAGGTGCATAGCAGTGGCTATTGTCGTTTCAATTTTAATTTAACTTCGCGATGAAAAGCCTAGCTGTGTTTCCCCTGCCGAAGCATATTTTCACATCAAAGCTCAATCGTCATTATAAACTCGAAAAATCGAGAAATGTGTTATTTTACGGGCACGAGATACTCGGACGAATTTGACAAACGAACTAACGCGGAACGCTCGTCGTGACACATCAATACGAGCGAAACAACGTCAAAAAAATACTAGTGATAGTAAATAAAAAACAGTTGGGATGTAGTCAAAAAAAATTGAAGAGAAAAACGAGTACGCGTGCGCATTAAATCGTAAAGCCACGCGAAGCGATAGTGACATTGCCGAGTCGAGCTTGCTTCGTCAGTCGCGCGATATGCATCACGAAACGTCGAAAGAGAAAAATAAAGGGAGAAAGAGGAGGTAGGATGAGAGCGAGAGGCTAAACGCCAAACTATTCGCGATGGTAAGAATCGCGAAAACGTCGGGGTCGATTATTAATCCTCTCGCGCCGCGTCGGATCGCGTTTTCCGCGTGAACGCATGCCAAATCGTGCGAACGACCGACGGCGTTCCATCCCTTACGGAAAAGAGAGATCATGACATGTGACTCGTCGATTCTTCTCGTCTTTCGTGGCCGTGAAAAATGCGTTTGAGTCGCGCAATTAACCGCGCGCATAAACGGCAGAACGGCAGGAGGTTTCTTAAATATGACGGAGATATATGATCACAAGATTTTTTGACAGAACGCTTAAGAATGTCTACTTACAGGATTTTCAGCGGTTCCAAATAGGAAAAAAGAAAGGAGAGAAATAGAGAGAAAGGGAGAGGAGGACACGTAGAACACTCGGTGATACGACGATATAACCTTACAGTTACTATCTCGCGATTTATAAACAAAAGCTCGCCCACGCTGAATTGCAACGCTTATCGATAATAGTCGCGCTCGATGAATATTCGAATATCGTGTCGGAACTTTAGTGATCGTATCCCACACCCCTCTCTTTCTTCTTCTTTTCTCTCTCTTTCTCTCTCTCTCTCTCTCTCTCTCTCTCTCTCGGGCGTTTAAGAAAGCTCTTTCTCGCTTGTATAGTTGATTGCACGATGGCATTCGACTGTATCGCGCTTGCGACAAACTAAAAGAATCGGTGAGTCGCGTGTCATGAGCACTCCCCGTTGAGAGCGCGGAATTATTCAACAGCCGCGCCGTACAACGAGCACCGTTCCCGTCCCCGTGGTAGAACGAACGGCCGTCCCGTTCGATGGTCCGCACGATCGCCAAGAGAGAGGAACAAACTCGAAGGATACATACGCCGGGACGCCGACATCGACACGCGACACGCGCGCCTGCACGCTCGCAATCAGAGCGCGGGCGCGCGGAA